ATACATACACACACACAAAGGTATAATATATATAAATATTATATATATATATATATGATTATATATATATATATGTGTTGACATATATACCATATGTGCTGTTATATTAAATATTATATATATATATATATATATATATATATATATATATATATATACATCCCATACATGTATGTAATGTATATAAATGTATATATATGTGTTTGTGTATGTGTGCCTGTGTGTGTCTGTGTGAGTGTGTGTTGTGTGTGCGTGTGTATTGTGTGTGTGTGTGTTTGTGTGCGTGTGGGTATTTGTGTGTGTGGTGTGTCTGTTGTGCGTGCATGTGTTTTTGTGTTGTATGCGTGCTTCTGTGTTTGTGTTTGTGTGTTGTTTGTGTATAATATATATATATATATATATATATATATATATATATATACAATACGCATTACACACACACACACACACACACACACACACACACACACACACACACAACACACACACACACACACACACACACACACACACATATATATATTATATATACTATATATATATATATATATATGTTATATATAATATATAATTATATATTATTATAATATATATATGTATATATATATATATATAATATATATGATATATATATATAATATATAATATAGAAATAGAGAGAGAGAGGAGAGAGAGAGAGAAGAGGAGAAGAGAGAGAGAGAGAGAGACCGAAGAAGAAAGAGAAAGAGAGAAAGAGAGAGAGAGAAGAGAGAGAGAGAGAGAGAGAGAGAGAGAGAAGAGAGAGAGAGAGAGAGAGAGAGAGAGAGAGAGAGAGAGAGAGAGAAGAGAGGGTACTTACTTATTATATATATATTATATATATATATTATATATATACTATATATTATATATTATATATACATATATATATATATAATATATATATATATATATATATATATATATAATATATATATATATATATATTATATAATATATATATATATAATAAATTCATGTGTGTGTGTGTGTGTGTGTGTGTGTGTGTGTGTGTGTGTGTCGTGTGTGTGGTGTGTGTGTGTGTGTGTGTGTGTGTGTGGTGTGTGTGTGTGTTTGTGTGTATGTGTGTGTACATATAATATATGTATATATATATATATATATATATATATATATATATATATATACATATATACATTATATTTATTTATTTATATATATATATATATATATATATATAGATATATATGCTATATATATATATATATATATATATATATAATATATATTATATATATATATATATATATATATATGTATATATATATATTATATATATATATATATATATATATATATATATATATATATATATATATATATATATATAATACATATATAATATATATATATATATATATATACATATATATTATATATATATATATATGTGTGTATGTGTGTGGTGTGTGTGTTGTGTTGTGTGTGTGTGTGTGTATGTGTGTGTGTGTGTGTGTGTGTGTGTGTGTGGTGTGTGTGATATGTGTCTGTTGTGTGTGTGTTCGTGTGTGTGCGTCCTGTTTAACCTTGCGTGAATTTTCCGTTACGTTTCGTCCGATTGTATTTAGTCTATAAAGTGACGTAAGAACACATACAAGAGTATTTGGAATACTGTATTTGCACTTGTTTATGGTGAACAGGTCGGTAATTAGATTTAATTGGAGCTACAATTATGCTGAAGAACCAAAATATTTCCCGCTTTTTTTAAGCGAACCCTAATTACGAGTCTCCAATGTATATTGTCAACTCATTCCTAGTTCTTATTCACGTTTTACTAATGATCTTCCATTGCCTTTATCAACTGACTATCACTTATCTTTCTTCTTCTTTTATTCCTCCTCTTTATTCTATTCTTCTACCTTTTCCTAGTTTTCATTTCAGTCCTCGGCCAACACCCACAGAATACTCTTTCTGCTCCCCATTCTCTCTCCACCATCCTCCCCTATTCACTTACTTTCCCCATCATACTTCCCATTCCTCCCTCTACCTCTTCTTCCTCTTCCCTCCTTCTCCACCACCCACCTTTCACCCTGTTTATCATCCCCTTTGTCCCCTCCACTTCTGACATCATCGCCTTCCTTCTCCTGCAGATGGTCTCCGGCGCGGCCCACCCCAAGGCACGGCTCTCGGACGCGTCTCTGCCTCTTCGTGTCCCTGAAGACGTCCTGGAGAGTCCCAAAGACCTCGCGAAGAACGGAGGAACACCCAAGGAAGGAGGAAAACGGGGGAGTCTTATTCCCCACGAGGAGGAGGGAGAGCTAGGAGTCAAGGAGAACGAGGAGGAGGATGTCAGGATGTCACTGGCTGAGGGAGACGAGGACGAGATGCTGCACTTAGAAGATTACGACGAGTTCGAAGTCGGTCACTTGCAGGGCACCAGCCGGAAGATGAACCTCCTCGACTTCATATCCACACGAAGTTGGGTTCTAAACATGCTGTTGATTTCGTTGTTTATTTCGAATTGTCAGGCGATATGCTGAAGGCAAAAATTTTAATATGGTTATTTAATATTTTTACTGTTGCTCCCCTTCTCTCTCTCTTATCTATATCTATCTATCTATCTATCTATTATCTATCTATCTATCTATTATTATATATATATATATATAATATATATATATATATATATATATATATATATATATCATATATCTCTCTCTCTCTCTCTCTCTATTTCTCTCCCTCTCTCCCTATCCCCTCCCTCCCTACCTCTCTATCAATCCATCCATCTCTCTACCTATCTTTCCGTCATACACCTACCTGTATCCTCCGCCTCTTTCTCTCTCCCATACCCATTTTCCGCCCCTCCCCTCTGTTCCCCCTCCCCTTCCCCCGCTTCCCCCGTCTCTGACCCACCCCGCCTTCCACCCCACAGCCACCACCAACTGCTTCCCCAACGCCAACTTCCGGCTCCAGAGTCACCCCTCCTTCGGCACGTACAAATACCCCAACAACTACAGTCTGAAGAAAACCTACAGGAGAGTGAGTTTCTTGGGTTGAGTTTCCAGTCCTGTGTTTTTTGGTGGTTTTTTATTTTTTTTCTTATCTTATTATTATTATTTGTTGTTGTTGTTGTTTTCTGGACGTGTTAGGTTGAGAATGCGTGTATGTGTGCGTAGGTACGCTACATGCACTTATATGCAAACGTACACATAGACGCACATACTGTATATGCACACAGATATATATAAAGATAGATTGATTATTGATAATTGATAGATAGATATGTGATGATAGATTGAAAGATAGACAAATGGATAAATAGATACAGATAGAGAGAGAGAGAGAAAGAGAGAGATGAGAGAGAGAGAGAGAGAGAGAGAAGAGAGAGGAGAAGAGAGAGAGAGAGAGAGAGAGAGAGAGAGAGAGAGAGAGAGGAGAGAGATGAGAGAGAGAGAGAGAAGAGAGAGAAGAGAAAGAGAGAAACTGGAACAGAAGCAGAAACAGAGCCAAAGAGAGGAGAACACATGCCCCTCATATACCTCCCCCCAGGGCCCGGGCATCAAGGAGATCGTGGTCTACTGCCCCTTCTTCAGGACCGAGTGGAGCAAGCGGTGCAGGAGAGACAAGTTCACGATCTTCAATGGGCCTTCCTTTACTAGGGGAATCAGGTGCGTTGTGGTTAAGCGGGAACATGTTTTTAACGTGTTTTCGTTTCCTTGAGTCTTCATCCTTTTTGTCTATCTATCTATCTATCTATCTGCTTGTCGATCTATCTATTGGTTGTCTTCTGTATCTGTTGGTTTTCTACTTCCTTGCAATTTGGTTTTCACTTCTGTTTTTCCTTATTAAATTATATATGTACTTTTGGTATTTTCTAGTATTACTTTTGGAATTTCTTCAGGAAATTATATTTTTTCTTTTTTTCTCGTCTCTCTTCATAATTCTTATAAATGTTTACTTACTCCAGCTTTTCCTTTTTTCTTCTAAAATTACTTTACATTTGCAGAGCCTAATAGGAACTTTAGCCCCATTTTACTGATAGTGAATACTTCCATTATTCAATTAAAGTTAAGTTTGGAATACGATAATTTTTTACCTATTTCTTACCATCAATTTCTTCCTATTTACTCTCATCCCCGCTAACATCGCCGCCGCTTCTTCTTCCTCCTCCTCCTCTTTCTCCTGCTCCACCACCTATCTCTCATACATCTGCCCATTCTCTTTCTCTTCTCCCTCCTCTTCCTACTCTCCATCTTCCGTCTCTTTACCTCTCCACCATCTACCCCCATTCGCTTACTTTCCCCATCATACTTCCTCTTCCTTTTTTCTTCCACTCCCTTCTCCACCACCACCACCCATCTCTCACTCCACCACCACCACCTCCACCACCACCATCTCTCCACCCTCCCACCACCCATCTCTCCACCCTCCACCACCACCATCTCTCCACCACCACCACCCCCTCTTCAACAGACGGTGTGGGAGAATCCACGGCTTCTACAAGAGGTACAGCCGCGACATCAAAATCGTCTTTAAGACTAACTACATAAAGAGGTTCGCTGGATTTGACTGCATCATCAGCTGCATCCGTAAGTGGTTTTCTTCATGCTAAAAAAAGTTAAAACAAGAAAGAAAAAAACTATCTATAGTATATATATATATATATATATAATATATATATATATATATATATATATATATATATATATATATATATATATATATATACATATATATATATATATATATATATATATATATATATATATATATATATATATATATATATATATATATATATATATATATTATTACTATACATATATATATATATATATATATATATATATATATATATATATATATATATTACGGTGTGTGTGTGTGTGTGTGTGTGTGTGTGTGTGTGTGTGTGTGTGTGTGTGTGCATATGTATATGTGTGTGCATATTACAGATTATACAGCAACGTACATAAATGCTGTCAATTCTAAAAAAGAAACATTAATAACAATCAACAATGGAATCTTGCTTGTCGTCCTCCCAGCAAAACCAACTACAACTAGCACCTCAACAAGTACAACCTCTACGTCTACAAGCACGTCTACCAGCACATCAACTAGTACATCTACAGTACTACAGTACTTCAACCAGTACGTCTACTAGCACATCTACAAGTACATCTACTAGCACGTCTACTAGCACATCTACCAGTACAAGTACGTCTACCAGTACTTCAACTAGTACATCGACAAGTACTTCTACTAGTACATCTACAAGCACTTCGACAAGTACGTCTACTAGTACGTCTACAAGTACATCTACCAGTACTTCAACCAGCACATCAACTAGTACATCTACAAGCACATCTACTAGTACGTCTACAAGCACGTCTACCAGCACATCAACCAGCACATCTACCAGTACATCGACCAGTACTTCGACGAGCACATCTACCAGTACATCTACAAGTACTTCAACCACATCAACTAGTACCTCCACCTCCACAAGTACCTCCACCAGTACATCTACCTCTACTTCTACAACGACCACCACCACGTACAGTCCAGGCTGCGCTGACAAGCCCGTGGAGCCAGCGAACAGGGTCACCGTGACGAGTAAGTACATGAGACGAGGAATGGGGGGGGGGGGAGGGAAGGGTATAAGGAGTTGTTTTGTGTCATGCCAAGGTCTTGTGTCATATGCGTGTCATAAAGGAATTCGTTGGGATTGTTCGACACTTCAGAGGAATTAAGATTCTTTTACAGGCGTTGAAAAGAGGGGGCAGGGGATCGCCTCCCACTCTAGAATGGAGGGGAGCAGGACGTAGTTTCTGCCCCCCCCCCACTCCTCAACTTTCAAGGACATTCCCTGTAGATGCACAAACAGTGCAATTCCTTACTAACCCAGTTTTTGAGAACACTGATCCCCTGCAAATGAGAGGGCAGCTACCAACTGAGTCAAGTGTTAAAATGAAATAACCATAATGTCAAGTGTTATCTTAAAAAAAATTCTGACATTTTAGTACAGAACTGAATGCGTACATCTCTTCAAAACTGCTAAAATCAAGGAGCTTGCCCCCTCTCGTCCCACACCAGCTCATATAAACCACCTGCTGTTTTTTGAGTGGATCTACTTTGCGCCCGTTTCAAAATACCTTCCTACGCCTATGTCATCGAATTATTTTTTGATTTGTATTTTGTATTAGCATGCTATTTCTTGTCGTCATATTTCGTATATTATCATATTTTATCCATTGTTTTATCATTCGTTTTTAATCTTTTATATCTGTTTCCTTACACAGCCTGTGGAGATATATTGCCAGAGTATCGAGATATCTGCACCTGTCTCCCGGTATGTAAATAAAACAAATTTGATATGGTAAACAGAATTTGATGATAATAATAATGATAATAATAGTAATAATAATAAAGATAATGATAATTATAATAATAATACACAAGCGAAAATACGGACGTTACAGCATTTCATGAAATAAATCTGCCTCTTAGACAACTCGCGAACAGAACAGAAACTAACAAGATTTTTTTTTTTTTTTTTTTTTTTTTTGCATCAGTGCTCACAGTTCTCCCGACTTCAGCTGAACTGCAGCATCTGCTCCGGCTGCGACATGGAGATCTTCGCTGTCCACGATTTCCAGTTCAGTGATAAAGCCACTTGTTGACGTAGCTTTGTGTGGCGGTTTTACAGATATGCACACACACACACGCGCGCGCTCACTCTCACACATGCACACAACCACATACATACAGACAGATTAGATTAATTTTAGACATGTGAATGAAAACAATGAATACATAAATGGATAGATGAATGAAGTGATATGGACATGCACAAAACGAATGCTTTGGGAATAGAAATCTGAATTAGTGAAAATGAATTGACTGACACAGGTATAAGCATACGAAAAGAGAGAGAGGAGAGAAAAGAGAGAGAGAGAGGGGGGGTAAATAAATAAAAAGAATGATTGATAAACTACACATATATAACGAGATATATATATAAATAGACAGATATCTATAGGTAGACAGATAAATAGATAGATAGGCAGACAGATGGAAAAGCATAAAGACAAGCAGACTAGTAAACGTACAGCTAAACAGGATTATAGATAGATGCACACAGACTCATAAATATATATATATATATATATATATATATATATATATATATATATATACACAGCCCATCCACACAAACAGACACGCATAGCTAGACGAAGATCCAGGCAGAAATAAAACCCTCAATTTCTTAATCCCCAGAATCAACCTGGCCCTCCACTTCATCTTCAATAATAGCTGTCCGTACCCGGTTAATTTGGGAGACCTTACGTACGGCAACGAAGCCAGGTTCGTGGTGCTGCTCCTGTGTTATCCGATTCCGTCGCGGATCACCTTCCCCGGTCCCTTCCCCACGTGGCCGGCCGTCAGGATCGTTTTCTATATGGTATGGCGCCGTTTTCTGTTGGTTGTGGGTCCGTTTTCTGTTGGTTGGGTTTCTTTTCGTTGTTGTGGTCCGTTTCTGTTTTTGGTCCGTTTCTTTTTGTTAGTTCTATGTTTATCTATCTTTTGTAGATTAGTTTATATATTTTTATAGATTGTTTTCGTATTATTGTGTCTGTATATTTTTTTGTAAATTGTTTCATATATTTTTTGTAGATCTTTTCTTTTTTTCTTTTTTTAAAAGTTAAATTGAGTGTAGAGATTTGATCATTTTTACATAGATGATGTTGGTGGTTGTTAAGACGTTGTAGGGGATATAGATGCATATAAGAACAGAATGATCGAAAAAAAATATTTATCTAATCGTCACTTCAATTCTCCTCTCAAGACCGGATGCCCGAACTTGTTCACCGGCGAGCCCTGTATTGACCTCACTGGCCGTCGGCGCCGCACTTCCACCGGCATTCAAGGTCAAGCCATTTCTTACGAGAGCCCGAGACCCGATAGGTGGACGGGAGGGAAGTCGGTGTTGTCGGGGACCCCGTCGGACGGCCAGAGTCTCCGGTCCCACTCCGAGCAGGAAGATCTGTCTTGGCTCAGCGTCTTCTCCAATCTCACTCATCTATATCTCATCGAGGTAAGCTTGGCGGCGTCTCTTCGATGCGTTTCTGTATTTCTGGGTGCTTTTGTTATATATATTGCGTTTGGTTTGTTGAATATGATAAAGCATTCTTGTGTATTTTTCTGAAGTAACCCCCTTTTTCATCACTGTCCCCTATTTGATCGATGCCCCCTTTTTCATTACTACTTCCTCCCACTTAGACCCTCACTGCCTATTCGACTCCAGCTGAATTCCACACAAAATCCACTTTTCTCCTCCACATCGTACTACCTGCTAAAATTGCTCAATTCAATTCGGTTCAGTTCAGATCTGTTCAGTCTAAGTCAACTTAGTTCATATCTGTTCAGTCCAATTCATTTTAGTTCGGATCTGTTCAGTCCAAGTCAACTTCGTTCATATCTATTCAGTCCAATTCATTTTAGTTCAGATCTGTTCAGTCCGTCAACTTAGTTCATATCTGTTCAGTCCGTCAACTTAGTTCATATCTGTTCAGTCCGTCAACTTAGTTCATATCTGTTCAGTCCAATTCATTTTAGTTCAGATCTGTTCAGTACAAGTCAACTTAGTTCAGATCTGTTCAGTCCAGCTCAATTCAATCCAGTCCAGTTTAGTACACATTTTCTCCACTCAGGTCAAAGTGGACACCTCGACGCTGCCGGTGCTAGAACACCTGCACACCCTCGTCATCCAAGACGGGACGGGAGTGATGGAGCAGGACAACTACGACCTGCGTCATCTCAGTCACGTCCAGGAAGTGTAAGTGTAAAGTTCTGTTCCTTTTCACCTCTCTTTCGTTCTTTCAGCCTCCTCTTTTAAATCCGTTGTTGGACATAGGCCTTCCCCAGTCTTTTATCCATTTCGTTCTGTCCCCAACTTTCCGGTACCAAGGCTTTCACAGTCCTCGTTCAGGCCTTCCCCAGTCTTTTATCCATTTCGTTCTGTCTCCAGCTTTCCGATACCAAGGCTTTGAAACTCGCTGACTCAACAGGAACCGCCTTAATGTTGTTTCAGACGTGTAACATGCTGGGGAGAGGGTGGGCCATACCCTACCACGCTGGCCTCACTGTGCTTAAACATGTGTTATTCTGTGCTGTAAACTCATCATACCTAATTATGCGTTATTCTCAATTTACAGAATCATGTGCTGTTCTATGTAGTAAACAACATACCTCATAATGTGCTATTCAAAATGGCAACCTCATCATATCATGTGCTATTCTTTACTTCATGTTCCTTCACGATGTGGAAATTCGTACCTAAGAGAGCTAACCATGTAATATTTCCAAATTTTCTTTAAAATATATATAGAACTGACAAAATTACATCCCCACATAGAAAAAAGAAATAAGTAAGACAAAGAAATACACAATCTCCCTAAAAAAAAAGGTTTCTTATCTGATTATAAAAAAAATCCCATTTCTAACTATTCTCCTTAGATGCATACAAAAATATGGGTTTCTAACGCTTCATTTGATGTACACAAAAAATCGCAGGTTTCTAACTCTTTTCATTTGGTACACAAAAAAATCCCAGGTTTTCTAACTCTTCTCATTTGATGTACACAAAAAATCCCAGGTTTCTAACTCTTTTCATTTGGTGCACAAAAAAAAATCCAGGTTTCTAACTCTTCTCATTTTATATAACAAAAAAACCCCAGGTTTCTGACTCTGGGCGAGACGACGCTCCACTCCGACTTCGTGATGCTCGAGTCGGACAGCCTTCAGTACGTGGAGGTCGCGGTCCCCAACGCCAAGGTGAACAGCCTGGAGATCAACTTCATCAACCTGGGGGCGTCAGGGGGGCGAATCTCCCCTCCTGCTTCCGGTGCGGTGATGTGGTTCTGTCATGGATGCAGGTTGTTTGTGTTGATATGCGCTTAGAGGGATGGAATTCTGCATATATGTCCATATATACGCACACAGACACTGACTCTCTCTCTCTCTCTCTCTCTCTCTCTCTCTCTCTCTCTCTCTCTCTCTCTCTCTTCTCTCTCTTCTCTCTCTCTCTCTCTCTCTCTCTCTCTCTCTCTGTCACACACATACACACACAAACAAACATACACACACTCACACACACTCCCCTTGCCCACCATAAATGCCACCATATCCCTCTTACTCGCCGCCACTCCCCCGTTTTCACCATAATCATCACCATTATTCCCCAGGATCGCTTCGGACAGTCGTTCCGGAGGTCACCATGAAGGTCAACCGAGTTCACATGCCCTTTGTCCTGTACCCTGTGTTCCTGCCGCTGCTGAAGGTCGCCGTCATCCACTGGGTCAATGGTAAGCAGGGAGAGAGGGAAAGAAAGTGGAGGAGAAGAGAGAGGGAAGGGAGAAGAGAGGAACGATAGGAGGGAGGGGAGGAGAGAGGGAAGGGAGGTGGAGGAGAGGGAGAGAGGGAAGAGAGGACGATGTGAGGGAGGAAGGAGAGAATGAAGGGAGGTGGAGGAGAGTAGAAAGGGAAGGGAGGAGAGGAGAGATGAAGGGAGGTGGAATGAGGAGAAGGGAAGGAGGAGAGAGGAAGGTGGAGAGAGGAGAGAAGGAAGGGGAAGAGAGGGAGATGGGAGGAGGGGAAGAGAGAGGGAAGGGGGTGGAGGAGAAAGGGAAGGGAGGTGGAGGAGAGTAGAGAGGGAATGGGAAGGGTGGGTGGGAGGGAGGGGGTGGAGAGAGGGAGAGCGAAGGGAGAGGGGAGAGAGAAGGGAGGTATAGGAGAGCAGAGAGTGAAGGGAGGGGAGGTGGGAGAGGGATGGGAGGGAGAAGAGGAAAGACGAAGGGCGGAAGGCGAGGGGAGTGGAAAGGGAGGGAAGGGCACAAGGAGGGAGAGAGAGCGAGTGAGAGAGGAAGGGAGGGAAGGACCAAAGAATGGGAGGGAGGAAGGAATAGATGGATGGAAGGAAAGAGAAAGAGGCAGTGGAAAATATAGAAAAAAAGAGAGAATGAATGACAGAGAGAAAAGAGACCGAAAGACGAGTAGGAAAAAAGAGAAAAAGAGAAAAAAAAAAAGAGAGGGGGGGATTCCCATCCGTTTCCTTGCTTCACCCCCCCCCCTTTCCCTCCCGCAGACGATGGCACCTACGTCTCCTGCGACCACTGTGGCATCGCCTGGTTCTGGACCCTCAGCGAGCAGGAGCTAGAGTGCCTGCAAGTCGCGTGCACCAACCCCGAGGGCCAGCTGATGATGGCACAGGACTACATTCGCGGGGGAGGAAGCAACCCGTGTGCCATCTACTTTGGCTAAGGAGGACCGCCGCCTGCCCACGGATCGCGCCCGGTGCCTCGTCCGTTCTTGAGGAGTGCCAGTGCCATGGAGCCGGAGAAATACACCTTCGTTCCCAATTGTATTTTCATTCAGATCTTCCTCGAGTTTGGAGTTATTGTTGGTTTTATGTAGTGAGTGATAACGGTTGATGAAAATACTCTTCATATACGTTGAAAGTTGAAGCCAGTATCATTATTATTATTGTTATTTTTATTACCATTATTATTATCATTATTATTATTATTTGTTCATTATTTTTATTATCATTATGATTATCATTATCATCATTATCATTGCTATTATTATCATCATTATGATTATCATTAGTATTACCATTATTACTATTGTTAGTGTTACCTAATATTATCATTATCATTATTATTACCATTATCATTATTATTATTATTATTACTATCATTATTATTATTATTATCATTATTATTATTATTATTATTATTATTATTATTGTTCTTATCATTATCATTGTTGTTGTTATCAGCATTATCATTATTAGTATTATCATTATTATCCTTAATATCATTATTATCATTATTATCATTATCATTATTGTCATTATTATTACTATCATTATTATCATTATTATTATCATCATCATTATTATTATTATTATTATTATCATTATCATTTTATTTTCATTATCATCATTCATTATCATTATTATTATTATTATTATTATTATTATTATTATTATTAATTATTATTATATTATCATTTCATCACTATTATATACTATTATCATTATCATTATTATCATTAAATTAATTATCAATCATTATTGTTATTATCATTAACATTATTGTTATTATCATTACTATTTTCCTCATTAATAATCATGATAATAATGCTAATAGCATTATCACTATTATCAATATTACTATTATCATCGTTATTATCGTTGTTATTATTATTATTATTATTATCATTGTTATTGTTATTATTATTATTTTCATAATCAATATGATCATTATTATCATATTATTATTATATTATCATTATTATTATTATTATTTTATTATTAATTATTATTATATTATATTATTATTATAATTATTATCATTATCATTATTATTATTGTCATCATAATCATTACTATTTTCCTCATTAATAATCATGATAATAATGATAATAGTAGTATCATTATTATCAATATTACT